CGACATGAACTGATGTACTTATGTACGAAGTTCTACGTTGCATCTGACTGACCTGGATAGATCAGATTCGTTCAACAGATAATATTTGGTTGCTTTATAACATATAGTGTTTCCAATTCTGGAGGAGTGATTCAATTCACAATCAAAATGCACAATTCCAGTCATTGCAAGCAACACAATCAAAAGAGGAACAAATCAATGACTAAGTATCAGCTTAAACAACATAAATGCAGTTCAGAAAGAAACATAGGAAGGCAGAAGAGATAGAAACTATGATCATCTCAAATGGAATCGAACAGATTAACAAAATGTACAACTCTAAGAACCGATAAGGACAAATTACAAATGTATACATGGAGGGACTTTCACAATCAAAACCTTCAAAAATGGATCTTACAGTTCATGATGTTTTTGTATGATGATGTCTATAAGTATTGTTTAAATTCGTTGATTGTTTTCATTCCTCTTAATGTTTATGAATGAAAATCAATTGGTCAGTAAATATATTACTCCGAAAACTTCTGCTCTCTGTCTCGAAATGCTCTCAGACGACCGTGTATATATTAGCCACTGACAAGGAAATCCTATTTACTCCTTTCTCATGATTAGGCTGTTGCTTACGAAATTGCGAGGACAAAAAGCAAGTGCATGAGGCTTTAACCAAATCAGTGGGTACGGAGGACCCACCTTGGTGAGTTGGAAAACCCTGATTCAAGACCAACAATGTACATGGGCTGCAGGATACTGAGGATACAAATGAATCTATTGTACGTCACAGGTTTATCAGGGGACTGCATCTAATAGCGCGTTACTTTGCTGTTTTGTGAATTAGGCCCAGAGATTGGCTACATAAGAAAACTACCCGCCTTGGTTTGGGCATCTAGACACACAAATTTAATGATTTGTATGGCGCATATAGTTTTAGATACTTCTTTCTACTACTAATTATGTGTTCAAATAAATAATGGGTAAGTAATAGAAATAAATTGTTCAGCTTCATGCGATCAGTGCCCTAATTATGTATTCATTACGATTAATTATTTTTACTTTGTTGCTGACATATACTTAGAATATAGAATTACGTGAGTTGTTGATAATTAACTGGTCTTTCTGGTTTTCCAGTTGGTAGGATTGGAAACGAGTGACCTTACTATGAGCGGGTCAATCTATCATCACAGAATACAGAGTGGATGTACCTGCGCCATTGCAAACGATTCTGAGCCATGTCGTTCGAAACGTCCCTCACCATTGGTGACTTTCGTATCGCAGACCCCAACTAGGTAGTTTACACTTACCAACATGACTCAGTCCACTTGTCAGTGATTTCATGGATTTGTGTTATGTTTTAGTTTGGCCGCCCCTAGATTCCTTCCAACCTACTCCCCTAAACCACAAAACATCGCTCGATAAGGCAGTCGGGTGGTTATGCATACGTAACACATGTCTCAACCACCTCAACTGATGAAGTTTCAATACTTCATCGATCAACATAAAAATATTCAATTCAAGTTCACCCTTAAATTCATCAAAATACCATGGAATACATTTTAAATTATATTATGACCGAGTAGTATGCATTCAACATACAGTTATGATTGGGGAAAAAAATACTCTGACATCAGGAAAATATACTTGCGAATTATTCTAAATCAGTCATTATTATTACTATTATTATTATTATTATTATTATTATTATTAATATTATACTCAATTAAACGTGCACAATAAACTGACCTATATTTCTGCATATTCCTACTTTTTGACAAGCGAGAATAAATTCAATGAAACTATTTAGTATACAAAAAAATTACATATTCATTCAGTTAGTCTATTTATTGTAATTTAATCATTCCACGACTAGATTTAAAAAGAAAAATAAATCATATGATCAATTCTATATGTATTATATAGATAGATAGATAGATAGATAGATATATTACATACATTCTAACCTGAAATTAGTATTCTGTTTTTCTTGCTATAGGACATTGAAAAATGTATGCGTATTATAGATAAACAATGTTGGTTGGTTGGTTGGTTGGTGGTAATGATCAATAGAATTTTATGATATTTATTATCATCAAAAATAATCATAGATTGT